AGTAGATTTTGAATTCATTCCGGCCACAGCTTTACCACAGATTTACCGCGTGGTAGATGATGAATGGGCAATTGTGATAAAGCCTAAAACAACAAACATTCAAAATGAAAAAATAATCATTTTTACAGTGCAACGATGCTCGATGGTATGTCTGATACTCTGTGTACTTAATACAATGTATTAAGTACACAGAGTATCGCGGAGTCATAAGACATCATGCCATGATGTCTTACGACTCCGTGGCGCAGTTGGCTACGGAGCTGGTGTTCCTGGGTTTGATTCCCACACGATACAACTATTTATCTGGCCCACAGATAATTTTTTCGGATGTGAGTTGTCACCGTGAAATTTATGTATGTGAAACGACCTTACAACATAATGTGTCCTCCAGTAAGGGGGCAATTAAAAAAAATCAAAAATAGAAAAAAATTGTAAATTGATTTCGAAGTAAAGTTTTTCAAACCGCTTTTCGTCGCAGTGGCATTAGGCGTTCTTAGTGGTTGACATGGTTTATTATTAGGTGGCTTTTACACGGGCTGGCAGCGGGCTCCCTCCAAATGGTTTCAGATATAGGTACGGCTTTTTAACGCGCAATAAAGACGGAGTATTCAGTATTGCTTCAATGCAGTGTTTTTTTTTGTGCAAGGTAGCAACCGAGTTGGCGGTTTACCTGATGTTAAGTGATAACCGCCGCCCATGGACATCTTAACCAGACGATGGACATTTAGGTTGCAGACGCTATCACCTTTTAATAAAGTGTACCCCGGTTACCACACTCACTAGACGAAACGCAGAAGTATAACTTCTACTTCACGCCGGTTTTTTATGAGGTCCTGGTACATCCCCATTGCAACAGCGAAAACTGTTTGGATTCAATATTGCTTGAATATAGCTACGAACGCGTGTCTTTTATTGTATACAATGGCTAATGTGAAACAGCCACTGGTAACGCTCGATACGACATCGAAACAAAGTTACACGAACAATGTAAAAAAAATCTCAAGAACCTCAATGTCAAGATTGATATTTCACCTTAGATTTCACCCGCGTCGACATATGGCGCTTCAAGTTCTATTGCGGTCCTTAAGGCGCTGTACGCAGTGAATTTTTAACTATTTGGGTGGTGAAGTATGAGGAAGCAGAGGAGGGGTAACCCCGCTTAGCGAGGCGCAGCGCGCAATGAATCAATGAATTTTATGTGTTGTGTCTTGTAACACTGCATGTTTTCTAACATGTTTCGTGACTTCGGCGATAAGTTATCTGTGGCTATTGCTCGCCTCCATCTCGGTGTGTATCGAGCCTAAGGAATTGTGAGCGACCAGCGAGTGCCGCTCGCCTTTGAGCGCCGTTAAACAATAATAACTTCGGCGCGGCGTAATTCTTTTATAGCCCCAATAATCATTAATTTCGCTACCGATACGCATCTCGGTTACCGTTCGCCGTATTAATATGCGATCCGATACGGCCCGACCGTCACAATCCACGCGATGGTAGCGCCATCTATGTGATTTTATGTTCGAAAAGAATGTAATGTTGTATTTGAAAATTGAAGAAAATTATTTAAACAGGTGCTATGTTAGGGTTTTCTGCACTCTGTGGCACTAATTTACAAAAAAACAGGTTCATTAAGATATGGCACGCTCTGTCTGGGGCAAACTTTGGCCTCGTTTATTGATAGAAACTCATGTGGTAATTCCTACCTCTCGATACAGCCATACGAATATTTATTACTGATCTGTCTGAAGACTACGTCATTAGGTTAAATAACGGTACTGGAAACCCAATAACTGGTCAGTTATTGTATAAAAAAAAATTGATTTGAGCAAATTTTCCACAGAATATCGTATTCGTCCCATATACTAAATTTAACATACAACTCGTATTCATATTTTCGTGTCTGAGTCAATGAAATAATTTAAAGAAATTTTAGTTTAATAGGAACAAGGTAAGCTCTGTACAAGGATTACTAAAAACATTTAGGATATAAAGCCCGCAAGAGATAGTAGAAAGGTGGAAGTTATCATCTTAGTGGCGAGTCCAAAAGGCCAGTCTGCGGTAAAAAAAGTGTAAACACGAAGTGCCTGCACGGGTAAATTCGACGATCTCCTTATATTGCATTTAAAAGATTCCAAGAACAATTAAGTTAGCGGTAACAAATTGAAAATAAGCGTTGCGAAGTTTTAATTGTCATCGACGAAGAAAGTTCTATACTCGTTACGATGACCTCGTTGCCTCAGACGCAACGCCTTCAGAGTAAGGTGCCAGTAGTCGAACTTGGCTTCGTCAAATTCATATATTTTTTTGGTGATAGTAAGTATCGATACATGCAGGAAGACGGCCAAATGTCTTTTAAATAACAGTGACAGTAACGCATGGTATTATGTGAGTCTGTAAGGTTTTTACTATTAAATCTAATGCACAATGCAATGTATAAAAATCATTTCTCTGCACTCCTGCGAATAAACTTTAACTACTCCTCCGTAATTTTGGTCAAAAAGGGGTAGAAACCATTTCCTTCATGTATGTATATAAAAGATACGTATATAGAAAGCAGTCAGCAGTCTCATTGGACATTCGGCATTCGAGAGGAATGTGTATTAATTACCGTGAGCCTCATATTACGGAAAGTTGTATTGCGGAGGCTTTAACGTGGCTCCCGTATAAATTGAATTCGTTAATTATTCATTTACCAAACATTCCAGTAACCACGGCGACAGTACCTTCGACAGATGTCTGTACTTAACACTGTCCCCGCAGGACATATAAAAATAGTACTGTGGTGGGGCAACGTAACTTCGCTGTTGTACAAATGGGCAGGTCCGTCCGAGTAAGTACCACGAGCTCACAGAAGACCGGAAGAAGTAACAGGGTTATACTTTCGTCTGGTGAGTCTGGTGAGATGTAGCCGGGGCCCACTTTATTATAAGCAACGGTGGCAAAGCATCTGCAACCCTACGAGTGACGCAAATTTCAACGCCATCTTCTCACGTAAAACGTTTTTAACGACCGGCACCTGAAGACAACCCTCTTTAGGAATAACCACCCAGATAGAAACAATTATATGTCGATCAAACAAATATTTGTCCAGTGTGCAAATCGAACCGACGTTAATTGTAATATTTATACTTATTGAAAAAATCCCTTGAGCATGGTTAAAATACAGTCGATTATATGTATGATGACCGACCCAATTTATCGATTGATACGATAAAATCTCAATCTTTTAGTTTTATATTTATTGTAAAGTTATGCACTAAAGCGATATATGTGTGCATTCGTTAAGTGTCAAGAGCGGACGAATAAAAAAACAACTTAACCGTTTTATTCCGTTATTCGATGGAAACTCAATCGAAACGGATTCCTTGAATATGCCACTGGTACTGTTTAGGACCGACGGACGTGTTTTCCGCGTGTTCCTTTTCGATTATATATCGTGCGAACATACGAGATTGTTTCCGCGCACTTGACGTCCAAACGTCGTTGAATTTGAAATGGCGCGAAGAGGCGATTTCTGATCTTTTTGAGGCCTACTTCTTTTTAATTGTTTTGGCATTTATTTTATTTACATAATCGCCACATAAATGATACCACTGACACACAGAAATCTGATGGTGATTTTACTTTTTATTTCATTTCGTGAAAGATTACTTACTCGTTTGTTTGAAGTGATATTGTTTTATGTGACTTTCTTATGTAACACTCCCACTTGACATCGTTCTTCTGTGAGGTCGTGGTTCTTCTTTGGATGGATATGCCAATTCGTGCAATAGTGAAGACTGTTGCGTGACTACTACAGTTAATATACTGAAAAGGGCGACATAGGTTTAACGCAAAGTAAAAAATATTTAAAACTTATATGAAAATTGTACATATTTATGGCGCGTCGCCTACAATCATGTTACTTAACATTATATGCCTATGGAAATGGTATTAAGTTATATTTTGATGGGTTTGGTCTCACAGTTTCCAGAACAATGCGGCACAATGGCAAATATTGATTTATTTAGCAGGAAATAATGAGTGTCGTGCCACCTTTGCCATTACAGAACAACAGTCGTTTTATACGAGTACTATTGTCAAAGGGATATCGAGATATCGATTTAATCTCGACACTTTCGGCTCGATCACGATAATTGACAGTATAATAGAGTAAGAACTGGTTGGATTTATATTTTGTTATCTTCCGCCCGGCGAATGGATTTATAAATCAAATTGTTGTCACTATCGATTTAATGGCATGCCTGATCTACCGTGGCGATTTAACGGTGTTTTACGATTGGGTCATTTAATCTGTTATAAACATAGCAATTAACATACTAGTTGAATTTAAGCATACTTAACACCGACATAAAGTTATTAGGTAAAAAAAAATTGGATATTCTTGATGAATTTTAAACGGTTATCCATTTAGAAGATCTGATTTGTCAATTAAATCGATTGCCAAAAGCTGACATTTATGTCCTCCTTGTTCGAATTTCTTTAGGGCGATAATCAAGTTCTTACCACGAAATGGGACGTTCTTACTAAGAAATAGGAGCTACGGTCTGCACCAAATCTTGACGATCTCTTGGCGAAAATTTCTCTCAGTAGATGACGCTCACAGGAGCACATACGTGGTCTTTTGCAACGATGGTGCTTGTGGAATCTGTCTGTTAGGTTATTATGTTTTTAAGGGCCAAGAGAATTAGGACACTGTGATTTTGAAATAGTAATGAAATAAGTTAAACACAAGTTTTAATCAATTTTAATGTATACTACGTACTTGCTTATCCAAGCTAACAAATCCTCTAGATACATTATTTATTAATTTTTCAACTCTCGTCTTTGGACTGTGTTAATTTATATGTATCCTTTATACCTATAGTTATATTCCGTCAACTTCTTTTAAGATCTTGCCTGTTCACAAAAAAACATTATTGAAATACTTGATTATGTCATGTCAAGAGTCGGATGCGTTATAATGTTGTTAAAGCAGAATTTGGGATGGGGGTCCTCACCTACGGTAACACTACTTCCTCCACTGTCCCTGACACTCGAGTCGTGGGGAGTTCTGTTATCATCGTTGGCGCTTTCGTCGTCTCCGTTGTTGCCACTGTCGTTTCGATTGTCGTTGTGACTGTCGTTGCCACTGGCGTTGTCGTTGTCGTCGTCGTTATCGGATACGTTGCGTCGGGCACCGCTTCCGTTTCATGCGCTGTGCTCGGCATCTTTGTCGTACTAGTGGATTTGATGGTGTACATTTGTGTCGAGGTCGTAGTCTGTGGCACGACCGAGTCGAGGATCGAATCGATATTTTGTGCGTCCTTGAGCATGAGCTCGAGCACTTGCTCAGCGAAGTTGGTGCTGGAGTCGTTCCTCTTACACGCGAGCTTGCAGTTGTGTTCGTTCGTGAAGAGGTTGCCGGTATTGCAGCCCCTCCATACGGCTGGCAAGCAGATGTCGCCAGCCCTATCGTATGTGTACACCTTGATGGAATGGTCGCTGCACTTGGTGCTGTTCAAGGTTGCTTGGCACGTGTCTGAAAAGTGTAACGGCCTTTGCTGAAGTCAAACTGAGATAGTTTGCGATCTGCGATAGAATCAACGCTCATCACAGTTGTGAATGCGAAGGTATTGAATTTACAGCCATAGTAAAATGCTACTTTTCCAAGTGTTTTAATGGTTCTATTTAAGGGTAAACTAAATTAATTAAATATGATTGAAAATATTATATCAAACAGTCAAATATCGAAAATGAAAGGAGCAAAAAAGAGTTAATACGAAAGTGACATAGATTTTATTTTATACATAAATCCTCTAAGTTTCAATACTACGGTGTCCATGGTCACGGAGAACATTCATTCGATTAAGAAAGAAAATCGATGAAACTCTGTGTATTTCACAGAATACACAGAGTTTCATCGGTTTTCTTTAACACAATTCACCTGCGGTTGTTCGAGAAAATTCGAGAGATTATAAGAAAGTGGTGGACGTAACCTCGACTCAGGTAGCTCGGCGAGCCGTCGGCCGGCACGCCAAGGAACCGGTAAATGCAGTGGTGGGAGCACAGGTCCTCGCTCTCGAAGATGTTCGGCGTGAAGCAGCCGCGCCAGATTCCGATCTCGCACCTGGATCCAGGGTGGTAGTAGTGGAATACGGGGGTCGGTGTTCGCCCGCAGTCGCTGCCGTTGAAACGGTGGAAGCAGTGCGAGTCGGGGGCTGCGCGATTTCAAGGTTACATTTATAAAGTTAACTGTTTTCGAGTTACGCCCGGTTTCTGAAACCCTGATCATCGTAGAAATTAACTAATCAGCTGTCAAATGGCTTTTCAAATGTCATTTGAGTTGCCAAAAGGATGGTTAACTCTCTGAATTGATCATTCTGATAATTTAGAAGATCAAATCAGAGAGTTAAACTCTTTGAATTGATCATTCTGATTTGATGATAGATGCTGAAGAATTTATTAACTTTGACCAAGTTGCTTCATCCATTTCTTACCTGAATCGAAAGGGAGTACACATCGATGATGTAATCCGTCACTACAACCTTATTTATAAATTTCTTTTATTTTTATTCTTTGTTTTACTTTAACTTATTATTATTTTTTCCTCTTGTAATTACTATTAGGTTATTTAATTTATTTGCTTTTTTATTTTTTTATTTTTTTTTCGTTTGTTATTTTGTAATTATAAACAGTGTAACCAAACGTAATATGTGTGCAGATGAAGTGTCGGATTAAATGTCTTTATGTCTTTAAAATTGTTTTGTTTTATGATGTCATACGTTTTTGGCATAAATTTTCAAGTTATATCAGGACTACCTGAGGTATTCCGTATCTATCAATATATATTTTCTATTACCATATTTTTGAGTTTTCCGATCATCGGACCTCCATGGTCTTAGGTAAGGAACCGTCTGACGAAGGCTTCAGTCTTCGCTTTTAACCCAGTACAGTTTACTCAGTAAATACGATTCGTTTTTGTAATAAATATACAACTAATTATATAAATATATATTATTATTATTATATAACCTGTTTAGCCAATATATGTTTTAGCGCTATGAATATTTATTAAAGAATTATTTACAACTGTTTTTATTTAATAGTAGGTAATCTGAACTTGATTAATTTCGACACAAAATTAATTTTCACATATTTCTTAATAACAGCCACTGTTATATTTTTATGATTATGTCTAGGAAAGATTACAGCGACTTTTAACGTACCTACAAAAACTGCAACTAGGTACTGATAGTAAGTCATTAAATCTTAAAAGTATTAAAACTTACCCGAAAGAGAATAATCGAGAAGATTCAGCAAATAAATAATACTATATAAATATAGGTATATTAGATACATGTCAACTCCAGATACATCTACATATCGTACATTTAAACTGAAAACTAACCCGTTTGTTGGTAATTAACCACCCAGTAACCATAAGTACAAATAATTAGTTAATTAAATTTTACTGTTTCAGCCAATACTCCTTCCTAATTAGTCCTTATCGTAAAAGTTGATTACAAAGAACTTATTTGTTCCCGGTTGTAAATTCTACATATTAGTGAGCAATTTTGGCAGATTTAATTTACCAATTTTGCGGCATATTGATGACTTTGATAGTTGTCGAGATTTAAGGTAATATTATTTTTAAAACATCTCATCTCTCAATGAACAGTCAATATCCCACACTATGTCAATATATTCATAAGATAACCTATATGTTACATAAAAGTTGATAATCCGTCTGGTAAATAATACTTTATAAAAAAATATGTTTCATCACATTTCTTTTAAGTCTTTTTTATTAATTTATGCAAGCTTATTTAAATAAAAAAAAGTTGCATCGGCCGGGAATCGAACCCGGGCCGCCCGCGTGGCAGGCGAGCATTCTACCACTGAACCACCGATGCTATGCTTGTGAGTATAAATTTATTTAGTACTTTAAATATTTTAAGTAATTTTTATTTTTTTTTACTGTACAATTTACTTGTTATATCTTTATTATTAATATAAATAACAATCAATATTAGTTCACATTTTTTTTTCATTAAACATTAATAACAAGTGGTTTCATTCATGTTTAAAAAGTATGAATCATTTAAATATCTAGTCTTTTTTAATATATATGCTATTATTAATGATGCATGTAATTGTGTATTAAAATACTATTTATTAAGATGTTTGTATTTCCTGCCATCTAGCGGTCGCTTTGTAAAGCACTTACAACACAACGTAAATAATATGAAGACAATTAATTACACGTTTTTAGCACATTTTTTGAGGTGGCGCTTATTTAAATATTTCATTCAATATACAACTTTTCAATATTGTTTATCCTGTGAAATTTAAATACAAAACAGGAAAATATAAAATGGATTTAAATAAAAAAAGAGAAATATATATAAAAGATTAAAGAATAAAACTAAATCGAGTCACAATAGTTTTTACTTCAGAGATGTTATAATAGGGATAATGTACAAAATGCATTACAAATATAAATAAAACGTGCCATTCCTCGGTGTAATAATTTAAAAAATGCCTTAGTAAATTTCTAATTTTAAAAATGTATTCATCGTTTTGGAAAAATAATTTAATAGCACTTTTAAAGTCACTATCACATTTTGGCATCGCGATGGTTTTTGATGCTGCCATCTAGTAAATATTTAAATGACTAAAAATTCGTTGCAAGGGAATGTTTCATCAGTATATAGTTTTCTCAGGATTTGGATTTTGTTTTCTTTTCTGTCGTCGTTACAACGGCCGGCGCTTGCCTTTCACAGTCTATCTCTGGTTTTGGTTTGGATTGTATCGATAATATTATTCCAATTAATATGCAGAGTATCTGAAACAATAACCAGAGTTTAATTGTTTAAAACAATCAATTCTAACATGGACATCAATTTCAGATTACAATATTACTTTATTCTCCACCGTTTGACCTTAAAAGCTGTCCTTTAAACTGCGTATTGATCATTTAAGTCTACAACTAGGGCCATAACTGATCAACCTCAAGTAGGTTTTAGGTACAAGTCAGCTAGTGATAAAAAAGCTTACCTCCAAAACGACAGCTAGAAGCGACACCCCCAAGACAGACTTGGCGGTATCTTTAAACACGTCTATGATCAGATTCCGACAGCCGACGTCGTAGTACTCTTTGCGGGCTTTGCAGCTCTCTCTTTCCCTCTCCTGCACCAGCTCGGACCTCCCGGGATCGTACGACGCGCAGCAGGATATGGGCACGTTGGGCGCGAAGTACAGAGGCAGGTTGGCGCTGCGGTAGTCCTCCGCGGAGTAGACGCCACAGCAGCTGAGCTGGTGTCAGAGACGAACGTAAATCATCACCACGCTATAGGTATCTCTAACAATTTTTCGAATACTTCAGTACTTGTATGGGCACCACAACTGAGCAGAAATTAAAATTAATCCAGGAAAAGTTGTTTTCAAATATTTAGGCGCAGTTCCCTTTACTTTTCGAAGGAGAAGGAATTTCATATATGTAAGAGTGAAAATCCAACTAGCTACCCGCTTAATAAATAATTGGTCAATCTCATTTTCATCCCGAAATGGTATAAAGCATGAATTGTTTGTTTTTGATCTAGAGAAAAATCCTTTAAGACCGGGATCAGGACCTGTATGTTTAAAAGTATTTATGAAGTTATACTTCTTTTAGCGCGTTTGGAAAAAATTATGAACAAGAGTGAAATTTTTACGATGAGCGCGCTCATCGACAGCGACATGATGAAGTTGATTGAATAGCGAACAACTTCACGGTATTACCATGGCAACCAATGACAACTTTTCGACATTTACCCATAATTCCAAATTATTTCATTAAGCCGTTATCAATCCTAAAGAAGTATAACTTCTTGCGTGCGTACATAAGTACACACATTAGTAGTATGTATAGTGTGTAATCCGTGAGAGCTCAGTGTCCAGGCACTCGCTTTTAATTCAATATACTGAGTCATAATTCCGGTGCGGGCACCGATTGAATTTAATTGCAATTTGAAGGTCTAACTTATCACGTGCTCAGCGGTGAATGAAAACGTCTCGTAAGGAAACCTGCATATTTTCGAAATGGCAACGAAACGTCTATAGTGGGGTCGTGTGATGGACGATGCTCTACTCCTTCTGTACAGAGGATTAAGGAAGTGGGAGTAGGAGCAGGAGTACATCTGGGGGAAGATTCTCTGTACTCTACGGCGGTCGGCCGTCAAGATCTAGATCCAATAGTCTTCAAAAGAATTACGCAGTTCTCAATTAAGCTATACACTTAATTTTTAACTGTGGTCGGCACGCATCAGTCCGCTGTCTGGCGAGGTAGCCGGGGCCAATTTTATTAAAAGATGGCAACGCATGTGCAGATATCGGTTACAGATATTTGGCGGTGGTCGTCACTTAATCTGGTGAACAGCCGGCTCGCTTTCTAGAGTTACTTACATCGTGTTGAGTCCTCGCCCATAGCTTCACGTGGCGGGGGCTGTCGTCCCTGGACAGCCTGAAGGACTCCGAGAGAGAGCGTCCCAGCTTCACCTCGTCGTCCACGGTCACCCGCACCGCCATACCCAGGATTATGGCCTGGATGACGACCACCACGGCCAGGACCATCGAAGCCTGTTAGCGTAACAAAATGGCTACCATTACCCCTCTGGGCCACCCTAAATTGACTGGCTGCTAATGGCTTTAAGTCCGTCTTCGTTAATTTTTGTCGAGTTGTGCATATAGAGAAAATTAATAAAATGAGCTTAATTTCGGTAAAGTAAATCAAGCGACAATCTTGGCAAGTTAACAGTACTTTTATTTTAAACTTATCGGCAACTGGTGATCGATATGTTTAAAATTTACAATTAGTGAAAAAAAAAACATGTAATTCCTAAAGTGGATGTGATGTCGTATTTTTAAAGTCCGTCGCGGGATATAAAAAAACCGGCCACGTGTGAGTCGGACTCGCGTACGAAGGGTTCCGTACCATTATCTACAACAAGAATTCGAATCGGCTATACATGCAACTATAGAAGGGATTCGAGATCATCTAGTAATAATTTTGAACAAAAATAACGAAGTTATCCCCGAACATAACAAAAATAAAAATATATACGGTCGAATTGAGAAACCTCCTCTTTTTTGAAGTCGGTTAAAATGGTGTCCGTTGTTATGAAATCGCACATAGATATTTTATTATTATTTTTTTACTATTTTTTACTATTAGCATCCTGTGCATGCATAAATGGAACGACACAACATAATATCGTCATGAAGTGGTAGTAATACACTTTCGGGTTTTGTCTGTTTTTAAAAGTTGTCAACGCATCTTTAAGCCCTCGAGTATTGTAGATGTCTATGGGCGGCGGTCTTTACTTAACATCAGATGAACTGCTCGTTTGAAAATTTTCACATATAAAAAAACGATTTTCTAATCCAATATCCTAACATATAAAGCATTATAGCAGCGTTTTCAGTATATATTTCGTTCGAATTGGCTTTAATAGTCTACGGACTGAAAGCGAAGACATTCAATAAAGATTATCAGGATATCATAAAGAAAAGTGTGCCTTGGCGGCGCCCTAATTTGACGGCAGTGATTTCCCAAAAGTGATAGGTTCGCGTGATATGCCACTTGCGTTCAGCCTTTTCCACTTTTAGGCATTTCACTGTAGTTTAGGGTGACCATTTAACTATGTATTTCATGGACTTTTCGAAATAAAAAAAATATTCATTCTCTCTCCGTGAGTCTTAATGATTGCATGCAAGTCGTTGTCTTTACAATGAAAATTCTATTTTAATTAGTCGTTTGGAAAGTTTATATATTTTAATGTAGAATTTGGTTTTACACCTACATGTATTACTTTTAGAGTTCCGTATCCAATGGGTAAAACAGGACCCTAGTACTGAGAGTCCGCTGTCTGTCCTCTGTCACTCACTAGGCTGTATCTCACGAACCGTGATAGTTAGACACTTGAAATTTTTACATATGATGTACCTATTTCTGTTGCCGCTATAACAACGAATACTAAAAAAACAGAATTAAAAATGTTAAAGTGGGGCTCCTATACAACAGATATGATTTTTTTTGCCGTTATTATGGATAATAGTACGGAACCCTTCGTGCGCACGTCTGACTCGCTCTTGGCCGGCTTTTTGTTTTATAATGGACGTCCATTAACTCATTCGAAAAAGCGCTGATTTAGATTTTGATTGTGTAATTACATTAAAATATATCATTTAGTTAGTATATCTAATATATGAATATATATAGTATATCTAATACGTGAAGCATAATTTTTGTACCCCTTTTTAAGTAAATTGCATGGACGGAGACGCGTTTATATAGAGAAGGAGTGAAGGATGCTAATATTTTTTTAATTATGTGTGAAAATACATAAAATAAATAATAGTAATAAAATACATAAAAGTAAACACGCTACCACGTATAAATATTTATGGTCGAATTTAGACCACTAGACGGCTACTAGTTTAAATAATTTTCCATATGAATAAAATTGATATAGAATTAAGTTAAAGAAAGCTTGGAACATTCTTTGGTGGATAAACAATGTCAAACAGATCGTCGTGAAAAAAGCGATAATGCAAATTCAATGAAATATTTCAAAAATGTGGAGCCTCTAGTGAATTAATTCAAACACTGAAGGCCGAGAGAGTGTTAACAACCCTAATTTTCTTGGAAAAGTGACGGGAAAACGCGGTGCTTTTCTAATTCTCATTTTCGACATTATTGTTTCGTTTTTCTACGCAGTTGAGGTCATTGGACCCGTTGGATTCATAAATACATGCGTCGAAAAATTCATTGAACTTGGCCGTATATTTCTGGTAAAAAACGTAGTTCAACGGCTGGAGGTTCATAACGTTACAGGTTCGAACCAAGTGTCGAATTTTCATGCACTAATGAATACATTCTTCAATACATGCATTTTTATTAAAATACGCAATAATAACTATAGTTGAAGCATTATCGCATATAGAATCAACACAACGAATTGGAGGTTGAAGTATTTCGAAAATTTTAGTAGTTTTTAACCGCCTTCAAAAAAGGAGGAGGTTTCTCAATTCGACAGTATATATTTTTATTTTTTTATGTGTGTTCGTGGATAACTTTGTCGTTTATGAACCGATTTTGATGATTCTTTTTTGTTGGAAAGGAGATATCCCAAGGGTAGTACCATAATAAGGAAAACAGGATCTGATGATAGCATCCCAGAGAAATCGAGGGTCATCATTGAATGTTATAGGTATTAACAATATTTTTAATTTTCTGATTGATGTCGGTTTTTTTTTTTTGTTAAAAATTATACTTGTAACGGCTGAGATGATATCGCTTAGTACTATACCATTACTTATTTTTACGACCCATAAGCTATTTTGATAAAGGAAGATCTCTTGCGAGACGGTTTCTAACAAGAAATACCTTGTATGTAACCAAATGGCAAATCAGCTCATGTGATAAGCAATCATGAACATTTTATAAAATTCTTGAGCGTTTAAATGGAAAAATTAGAACTGTCATAAACTTAAATCGCATAATTTTTATGGCTTATTGTTATGACGCGAGTCGTTCACTGTTTTATTCAATTAATGTTTACGAACCGCACATAAAACGCCTTGGAACATCTTCATTGTTAAGTTTACGTACAAAGGTAAAATACTTTAAGTACACTTTACTAATCGGTCCGTACAAAAACAAAAATTTGCCGAAAGTACTTTATTTTGTACGGTCGCTCTCTTATACACTACCCCATCGAAGGAAACAAAGAACTAACGCCCGGTTTCTTTAACACTGATCATCGTAGAAATTAACTAATCAGCTGTCAAATGGCGTTTGATTGGCCAAAAGGTTAAACTCTTTCAGATTCGATTCATTATTCTACTTTGTTATTATGAAAGTGAGGTGTTTGGCCGACATTCACTTAGTTAAGTATTATTCATGCAGTTCATAACAGTGCAACAAAACGCTAGAAAACACTATACCCACATATAGTAGCTACACACTTTACTAATTAGTTTGTCTCGCCTTCCAGCACAGAGAAACCAACATAACGCGCGCAAAAATTGACATCTCATCCTACGTTTATTTTTTAATGCATTCGTAGCAATGCTTGCCATTTAATATGACTTTCATCAATATTTGATAGTCATAGACGTATATCTTTCTTTCTTAAATTCTTCCTTTTAAGGATCCAAATTCTCAAACTACATATGGCCGCACATCGGTCGATCTGGCTTTTTTTTTAAAACGCTTAGAGCCGGTTTCAATATTCGATCTGTCTGTAGATTTGCTTACTGGAGATAGAATTTAAACGTAAGTAATGTGAAATACTTAAGGCTATTAAACTACAGATAGATAGAATATTGAAACCGGCTATTAGAGAAACTGTCATCAAGATAGTAGTAGTATAGGAGTTTGGTGACTCCGTTGCGCAGTCGTCAAGGTTTGGCTTCGGCGTCGGCGGCCGTGGGTTCGATTCCCACACGGGACAACTATTTGTGTGACCCACAGATACTTGTTTCGCATCTGGGTATTTGTCCACTGTGAAATTTATGTATGTAAAACGTCCTTGAAACACAGGATAATGTTATCCTAAAGTGAGGGCAATGTTTTTTAAAAAAAAAAAAGAAAAAAGTAGAATTGTGACAATAAATAAGTGAATATAATGTTTCCATATTGAATAAATACATCGGGATTTGTATTAGGAAACTCACCGAATGGACCGGCTTCCTCTGCTTCCGTATAGCGCCGATCGCCGCGTAGATGCCGACGGAGATGGTGACCGCCGCCGTCACCGCCAGCACCACCATCGCCACCAGCCGCCCGGACAGGTCGTCGCTGTAGATCTTCGTGGCCAGCGCGGCGGTCACCGTCACGGCTATGACCGCCACGCTTTGCACCTGGGAATTTCATTATCATACACCAGTTGAGTACAGGCTCCCATGTATTTGATTTTTTTCGGAAAATCGAAAAAGAGCATATAAAAAAATTCTCCACTTCGACAGCTGTGTTGCGAACGAATATCAAGATAGTCACACCTGCTATTTTATCAGTTTTGTGGACACAAACGTGCGGAAGCGAAATTTTTATAAAATAAAGATTTTTATGTTTCATATGCATAAATTTATTAATTTTATAGTATCATGAGTACTATTAATCTCTTTGAGTCGGAACGTTTCGTGTATGACACTTTTTTATTACAAACAACAGCCTATATACCTTCAATAACGATGGTTATTTGTATGTAATTAATTAATTGATTATAAATTAAATCAAATTGACTTATATAATAAAATTAGACTTTTCTATGTCATGAGCTGATGACATTTAACAATATCATATCATTTATAAATGTAATGTAGGTATGTCGTGTATGTTATGGTCGCTTGAATAATTGAAGAAAAAAAGGGACGGCAATATTATTTGAAATATTCTTGATTTACATTAACGATAGAAAATTTTAGAAATTTAAATTTTCAGCGTACATGAATATAATTACAAGAAATAATTACCTCATAATAACAAGAAGGGCTTACCGCGGTTATCAATGCAAAAGTGACGTAGAGGATTCTGGTGCAAAGAGCGCTACAGGACCGGTTCTTCAGGCCTCTGAGCCGCGGCACGTACAGCTTCCCCAAGCCCTCACCCTGGGAGCTTTGCGTGGGTGGTACATCGCTGATGGCCAGCTCCGGCTCCTTGGCTGGAACGCTCAGGTTTATATTGCATAGACCTACGCAAGCTTTTGAATCACTCCAATCAGCCAATCGGCAAGAAACAGCCCAGAACAGAGTGTAGTGGCGTCTTTTCGTCTCGGAGGCCAAGATCCTCTTTGGGTCGCTGAGCCAGCCAAGTAAGTAAGTAAGTAAGTAACTAGTAAGTAAGTAAGAACGGAAGCTTTTAAAGCTATATGTCTTTTGACGTGTTCGGGAATAATGATGACAGTGAATTTTTACTAAGCGCCATAGCCGACGCGCTTCACATAGCATTGTTCCGATTGGGATCGTAACCACACCCTCTGGCGCAAGAGGCTGGTCCAGTTTCCACTAAGCCAAGAATCCAGCCAATAATTTCATAACAGGCTTTCTGATTTCAGGTATCGTCGTGGAACATAATATTCTTTTAATAGTTGTTATGTGACAGAGAGATTTTTTAATCTGTTTTTATATGACTGTTGCTTCTCAGTACATACTTGAGAATGTTATGAACATCCATAATAACCAATTAATTTTCAACGCATGTGAATGTGCATGATATAAATACTAGGAACAAACATAAATTAATTCTACTTACAACCAGAGTGAGTAAAATAACTAATTCTTTTATGGGCAATGTATACGTTTTGACAACAAAATCCCACAAAATGTTCACAATGTAACAATTTCTAAATTAAAAAAAATTGTAAAGGAACGTTTGTGCGTTAAAGGATATTATAATATTAGTGATTATTTAAACGATATCATACCCTGGAAATGAATTGATCTCTCCAGGCTCTTTCAAGTGGACTTCAATACATTTGTAAACGTGTTATTTTTTGTCAAGTAATGATTAAAAAAAATGCCCCGCTGAGTTTCTGTCGCCGGTTCTTCTCAGGTTGGTGGCTTTTCTTTTCCGAACCGGTGGCAGCGTAGGTAAGTGTAATGCTTTTTTATTGAATAAAGATATTTGAATTTGGATTATATTCGAAGCAACGAAACGGCCAGCTTACCTTGAGCCTTGCTCGACTTTCCCATGTCTTCCGAGGGCCGGCCGCGATGCCGCTTTGTGGTCGCAGCATCCGACTGACCCGCCGTATATAAACGGGCGCAACAATGGCCCCGACAGTCCGCCGCGCCAACGCACCGCTTGGGAAGCACAATGGCCCGTAAAACCATTCATTGTACGCAAATTCGCGCGCCGCTATACCACGGGGATCGGAATGTCCGGTTTTATTTTTGGTGACCACGCGCTAATTATAAATAGTACCTGGAGGACCGAGCTTTGCTCGGTTTTTTTTGTAAGTCACGTATTTTGGAAATAAAAAAATAAAAAAAATGATAATGAAAAGAAGTATAAAAAAATAAGTTTGTACATGATCGTGATACGAACCGCGGCCGTCTGTTTTAGTGCCGCCTCATTACCGACCGAGCTACGAAATTTACTGTCATATTCGAATGATATTTTTCATTCCCTGAAAACAGGGATAAAAGGACATTTTTCTGAAAATGAAACCTAGCTAGATCGATTTTTCGCCCCCGAATCTACGCACATACAAAATTTCATAAAAATCGCTGGAGCCGTTTCCGAGATGCCGATTTTATATATATATATATATATATATATATATATATATATATATATATATATATATACAAGAATTGCTCGTTTAAAGGATAAGATTAAACAAAATGTTAGAAGTTATTGGGCGCGAAACCGGAATACGCAGTTTCGAATCCCGCAGCGCAGAAAGTTTTTGTACATTTATATAAATCTCTATATACATTATTTATCGAAGGCGTTTTTGGTCGGTAAGGCATACCTTGCATTCCTTAGTTAGTTCAATGATTCAAACGTCATCATTCAAAACTCATGTTTGCCGCTGTAGACAAAAATTATATGAAGAATAAAATAATAATGATAAACAAGATGAATAAAGACAATGTTTTTATAAAAAACTTTTTTTTAATTTAAATTTTTACAGTGCTTACATCTGCACATAAAACGATTAACTTTTACTTTAAAATTTTCTCATAATGATAATGGCATCTATGGAAAATTTTGAAATTTAATTTTTTCTCTGCACTTTTCGTCGTGAGCCGTGATAGCTCAGTGTCCGGGCGCTCGCCTTTATTTCAATATACTCGAGCAACCTGAGTTCGATCCCCGGTGCCGGCACCAATGAAGTTTTTAACTTTAAGTGCTGACTTATCACGTGCTCCACGGTGAAGGAAAACATCGTGATGAAACCTGCATATTTTCGAAATAATAACAAAAAAATTTTTTTTCGAAGATATGTGAAGTCCGCCAAAGTCCGCCGCTTGAAGTCCGCCAATCCGCAGTGGGGTCGCGTGGTGGACTATGCCCTGATACCCTCTGTATAGAGGAGGCCTTTGCCCAGCAGTGGGACATGTATATGCTGTTACTTTACTTTTCGTCGGTGTGGCAATCAGCCGTTTAGCTTAGTGGCTAAAGCCTCGGGGCGCGAAGCCCGAAGACGTGGGTTCGATTCCAATAGCGGTGAAAAACTTTTCGTATTTTTTTGTACAAATTTTAATATGGAAAATTTGTTTGAAATAACGTTAGCGAAGTAGACTGAAAAAGCTTATTCTTCAAAATAAGATACCTTTCATTGATAAATTCTTACACATTATACGAGGGCTGTTTGATAAGTACCCGTTTTCTAAATGTATTGATATCACTGGCCGAAAATGATACGACCACTTAATGGCATTTTTAAAAGGCGGAGAAAATTAAAAACAAACTCTTTCTTTTGTTTTTTTTTTTTTTCATTTGACAGCGATTCAGTGAAAGCGTGAACTTTAAATTGTAAAATGTAAAAAGAACAGTGTCAGTCTATAAGTCCATTCCGGTTTTCGGAAGGAAAAATGCGTGATAAAAAAAATAAGAATGCATGCGATTCACCGTGGCTGTCCGTACACCTTCTATGTGAACCATCAGATATTGGTTTAACGAAGTTAAGTGGTGGAGAACGACCATCTTTGAAGAGTAAAGATAGTCACCTCAATTGAGCGTCCCAGGCTACAGACGGAAGATACGGTTAGGAAAATTAAGAATACCGTTTCAGCCGAACTATTAATTCAATCGTTGATGCTGTAAACGTTTCAATAGAGCTGGTAAAAAACATATTGGAAGAAAAGTTGGTTATGAAGAAAGTATCGGCGGGATGCGACACAGACAGTGGGGTCTTAGTAATAGGGTCCCGTTTTACCCTCTGGATATGGAACCCTAAAAAGCATCTCGCTAGCATGCCAATTTTTTCTATGACATGGATTAAACTACACATGAATAGTTAAATACAAAATTACACATGAATAGTTAAATAATTTATCAAAAAGATATTCATGACAGGTATTATCCGAATGATAAACGAATCTGTGAATGAATTTTGCACAAGGGTGACATGAAACAATAGGCGACAGTCTTATTGTGTATTATCTAATACAATTTTCACTATAATAAACATACTTCGTAAGGGAGGATTAGCGTTCTCTATGTTAGTATCATATTTTTAGGTGTAATAAACAAAAAAAATAAACATTAAAATTAATACTGTGCAGAGAAAATGTAGATATTCTTTCAGTTTTTATGTACGGTACGACGAGTGACGTCGCGAGGTCGAAGCCTGAGGTGATGGGAGTGCACTCGTAACCAAAGCAAACATGGATGTAGTTAGTATAAGCGTCGTGGACAAATATTTAGTGTCTCGATCGTGTGTCGTTGTGTTGTTGTTATTTATGGCTTATTTATTACATATTTTGCTGCTTGTCAAAATAAAGTCTATGTCTATGAGTAAATATTATAAGAACTCCTTTACAGTTAAGGCCATCTGCTTGTGGAATGAACTTCCTCAGCAAATTCGTCGTTCGAAGACGTTAGACAAGTTTAAAATTGACGTAAAACAACATTATCTATCGCTTTGTAATCCATAGTTTTTAATGGCAATATTCAGATTTAATTATTCTCTCGTGTATTTATTTATATATATTATATATTTATTTATGTTTATGTATGTTTATTATAATTTTGTTTATCTTATTATATTTAAGTCTATTTTGGTATTAAGTAAGTTTATTGAGTACACCACCTCCCACTATTCATTAGTTTATTTTTCCTCGTCCTAAGGTTGTCTGGAAGAGATCGCTTTTTAGCGATAAGACCGCCTTATTGTACCTAGCTTTTAAGACTTATTTCATACTAATTGTATCAAATTCTTTGTGGTGTACAATAAAGTATATAATAATAATAATAATAAATATTACGAAGAACCCTGATGTGTTGGCAAAGAAATGTGAATCGGTATTTAATGTTGAATATATGTTTAATGATCGTTTTATATCAATAAACCATCGCAAGGGAAACTTATGTCTGAGACAATGTATTAAATGAACTATGTGAGGTCGAAAAACTATGGATTAAGTGTCGAACTACGTCCCAATATAGGTCCCTACTCTTTATTAGAAAATGTTGACCTCTATTACAGGACCTTGACATATAGATTGTTGGTGAATATTTTCCAGACAACGCGTTGCACCGGGCAGGTATAAAAAGAAACTATTTATTCGTTTAGACTATAATATGTTACAATTACTGAGTTAGTATGTTACAGCTTCATCTCAGTAAGGAGTCCATCCAGCGTGTTATTTTCTTCAACATGTGAAATTTATATTATTTTACAGTTCTTTAGTTCACATTGTTTTACTTTTGTCATATTGACTACAAATATTACATATTTTAGAAACGATTCATAACAAAACGGAAAGCATTTTAGAAGACAAGCGATTTCTTAGCGGGTAAAAGAATAAGTTTTATGTATGTACTCGTGGTAATAATAATATCTTTATTTCTCCTTGTTTACTGATCATAAAATTCTTCAACTTAACAGGGATTATGGAATGACAAAAAACTAATCTACGAATTATTATTCTTTATAGTTATCGCGAAATATGTGGTTAGTATAGTTATTTAAACAATCCGGTGGTCGCGTCGATGACGTTGTACGCGCGACACATAGAAGGCTATGCTATGTCAAGCTACCAGAGAGTTCCCCTGTAAGTTATTTTGGAGAATGTACTTTTAGTAGATATAGAAATTAAAAATTTGATTTAAAGTAACAACTTATATGACATTGTCTTATAGCTGGGCAACGGACACCGCTGTATAGAGGTTGTTAATATAACACGCGAATTTAGTTCGATTTTCATATACCTGTGATTTTTTTATATATTTTACTAGCTGAGCCCGCGACTTCGTCCGCGTGCAATTATATATATAGATATTAATACATAAAATTTCTAAACTAAAAGTAGCCTAAGTTACTCCTTATTACATCAGCTAATCTGCCAGTGAAAGTTCCGTCAAAATCGATCCAGCCGTTTCAGAGATCAGCCGGAACAAACAGACAGACAGACAGACAAAAATTGTAAAAAAATATTTTGTTATATACCGTGTATACATCCATATCCATTTAGTAAATAGCGGTTATTTGAATCTTACAAACAGACACTCCAATTTTATTTATCTGTATAGATTTGCCAGCAACTACATCTGTTGGTACAAATAGTGGCTTAAACTTGGGTGTTGCAGACCTTCATTTAATGTCATTTATTATTTACCTGTTTGTTTGATATCTTCTCAAAAAAAAAATACTCACGTTTCCTCATGATGTTTTCCATTACTGGCAAGCACATAATCAGCAAGTGCTTTTATGTTATGTGTACATTGGTGCCGGAATCAGGATTCACAAGGCAAGCACCACAACATACGTTCGTCAAATCTGTGTTTTTCAGGGTTTTGATAATTATTTAAGCTTACGTAATCAATATGAATCGAGTGAAACTGTGTCCACGATTTTATCGCATTGAGTGGTTTACGAGGTTTACGTTTTCAGCCAACTGGAGCTATCGCCGCCTTGTAAAATATTTTTAAATGGGCATTAAAGTAAATCATGCATTCGTTATAATCGTTTATTTAAGATTGATTAAGTAGAGTCGTTTTACTTTAATAACTTACAGGATTTTCACTTGAACTTGTTTTTGGTTTCCTAAAGTTTGGCGTTGGTTTACTGATCACGATTTAAAAAATCTAGAACTATGTTTCAAGCCTTGCCATCTTATATTAAAGTTTTAAATAACAATAAAATATAAATTTATAATTC